CAATAAATTCAATTCAATTCAATTCACCTTTGGTGGGAAGGGAAGAGTGTTCCCTGCACCTTTGGCGTTGAGTCATGCCGGCCACATGACTACGGAGACGTCTTCGGACAGCGCTGGCTCTTCGGCTTTGAAAACGGAGATGAGCACCGTCCCCTAGAGTCGAGAATGACTAGCATGTACCTTTACCTCAATTGAGCCTTCCTGAATGAAGGATCAAAATGAAATAAAAGATAAAAAAGATAAAATGCACGAACGAGTGTTCAAAGTCTTAAATGGCTTTCGGTTTTATTTTCATCTTTTCGTGGGCCAAGCCTCACATCTTAAAAGTAGAAAAAGCCAAAGAAGAAACGATACCCCTGTTCCTTTCTATTAGAGTTACTCATCTTCCTTCGATGACTCAGCGTCTCAAGTTGGGATTCTTGAAAGAGCTTTCTTCTCGGGCAGGCAGAGTCCTCTCTCGGGCCAGCTAAGCAACACCCCCCCCACAAAAAAAAACTCAGTTCCACCTTCATCTTTGCTCTTATCTACCTTAAGATCCCTTTGAAGGCAGAAAGACTTGATTAAGGTTAAACATCAGGAAGAATTTCCCTTAACCATCCGAATAATTAGGCCATTGAACTAATGTATCCTGGGGGGACAAAAAATAAAGCACACTCCCCCATTAGTCCAAGTTATTAAAAGATAGGTGAAATCTCTCTCTCGGGAAAGAGGGATGATAATTTATCAGAAAACTGGCACACCTTCAAGAATGCCCAGGGCTGCTGGTTCGACTCTGGTTTCAGGGCAGGGAGCGATTGAAATTCCATTTAGAGTCATCCAGCTGAAATTCCATTTAGAGTCATCCGGCTATCCCGGCAATATATCAGGAGTTGGAATCTGGACGAATGCTTGCAGAATTAGAGAGCGTGATCAGACGAAGAGACGCACTGAAGGAGAGTTTAGAGGAATCCATGCAGGGACGGTGTTGAGGATTCAAGCTGCTTTACAATAAACCTTGTTCTTGTTTTGGTATCAAAGGTTTTATTTCTTCTAAAACACAAATATTTCATCATTCGTCAATCATTAAAACATTGAAGTACATTTTTTTTTGTCTTTGTGCCCCTCCCTCCCTCCACCCCCCCTACCCACCTCCTC